TAAGTGTCGCCATTTGGGGCATTGGTCTTATATATAAATAGAGCTCAAAAGCTACTTTTTAAAATGGAATTTGGGGGGGCGTCTTATGCACCCCGCCGCCTTTATAGGTCATGGGATATACGGTATATATATATATATATATTGTAACCCCGCTTTACGCGGTCAATTGAACACACGGAGACCCGCGTAAAGCGGGAAATGCGTGAACTGAACAACAGAACATATGGGATTAATTGAAATAGAGACTGGGCCGACCCCTAAACTCCACTTTTTCCCGACACAATACGTACGTTTTAGTAAAAATAACATCTTAACTTTATGATGGTATGCACACACACATAATATAGAAGAGAAATATCAATAAGAGAATAATATACTGTACCAGGTAAAAGAAAAATCAAGGTTTAACACTTACGTTATGGGAGGTTAGGTTAGAAAAAATCAAGGTTTAACTCTTACGTAAGGTTAGGTTATGTTTTAATAAATCAAGGTTTAACACTAACCTAAGGTTAGGTTATGTTAGGAAAAATCAAGGTTTAACACTTACATAAGGTTAGGTTATGTTAGGAAAAATCAAGGTTAGGTTTAACACTTACATTACTAGAAGAGATGGGTCGGCTTACGGGAATGGAGGCTGGTTCCGAGGCAGAGGGCAGGCTACTGGCCCTCAGGTGAGTCACCATCACTGTCATCCACACTTGTCAGGGCCTCCCTGACAATTCCCTCAAAGTCACCATCACTGTCTCTGTCACTATCACTGGCTTGGGCTGGCTGTGGTGGGTTGCGGGCGAAGAACTCGGTAATGCTTTGTTGACGGCTAGTGTTGATGTTGTCGTGATACACCTTGATGCAGGGCTCCATAGTCTGCAATAGCTGGGTAGTGAAGACTTCATACCGGTTATTTTTCAGGGTCGTCGGAAAGGAGGAGCTTCAGTTTCTCTACACACTCGATGGCACCCCTTACATTACCATGCGATAACTTGTGTTCTTCTCGGGATGACGCACCACCTGTCTCTTCACTGACGTGATCGTCTTCTAACATCTCGTCGGCAGTCACATCAGGATCCCATATCACCTCCATAATGTCGTCGTTGGTGGTCTCGGAGTAGCCTGCAGCTGTAACACTGCGCAGCTTCTCTGGCAAGGTCCACTGCTACTGCAATGGTCTGAACGTCACCAGTCACAGGTTGACTCTGCCTCCCACCTGGGATACCTTGCAATACATGTCTCGGCGTGACGAACCGTTGCTACAGACAGCTGATCCCATACCTTCACTAAGAAGTCCACAGCTTTCTTGACGTTAAATTTCCTCCAAAAGTGTTTCACAAGAACTTCTTGCTCTGCCAACTGTTGTTCCTCGTCCTCATCGCTCTTGCTATCGGTGTCACCCAGGTTACGCAACTCATCCTTGGTGTTGGTATAGTCGTTCAGGAGCTTAAACTTCTTTGCAGAGAATGCAGCTTTCACTTTGCAGATTAATTCTTGGTCCATGGGCTGGATTGATGACGTAATGTTGGGAGGAAGGAAGACCACTTTTACGTTGGGGTGACGATCCAACAGTAGGGGCGAGTGTCCTGGTGCGTTGTCAAGCAGCAACAAAATCTTGTTGCTCACAGAATTTCTTTACGTCAGGAACGAAACAGTCATCAAACCAAGAGAGGGACAGAGTAGAGAACATCCACGCCTTACGTGCGGTCAGCCAGTGGACATTTAGCTTGGTCATGTCCATGTTCTTGTAGGCGTGTGGCTTGCGGGCTGTGTGAATCACCGATAACTTGAGTTTACAGGAGCCGGAGGCATTGGTGGTAAAGAGGACGGTGATGCGCTCCTTCTGCAACTTCCGGCCTCGACACTTGCTGGCAGATTTGACAACGAAGGTCTTGGAAGGTGGCTTTTTTCCAAAACAGACCGGATTCGTCCATGTTGAACACCTGGTCGTCTGTGTACTGTCCTTCCTCCATAATCTCACGTAAGAACGGAGGAAAATCCCTCGCCACAACACGGTCAGCACTCGCTTCTTCACCACCAATGTTGATGTTGGTGATCTTGTTCCTCTCCTTAAACCTGTGCAACCATGCAGAGGAAGCATTGAAGGGTTTGGGCTCTGCAATTCCCATCTTACATGACTCTGCTGTGTACAGCTCACGTGCGTACTCCTGAACTGAGCGCGTGTCGACCGCCATGTTCCGTCTTGCCTGACGAATCAAGTAGCTTACAAGTAACTTCTCTGTCTTGAGAAGCACCTTGTTGTGGCAATACTTGATCATTGAAGCACCTGCAGACTTTGTGATGTTCATGTGTTCTTTTATCTTGGCTGCATCCTTCTTTATCGTCCGGATTGTAGATTCGTTCACACCATGCTGGCGCGCCAAATCAACCTGTCTTGTTCCTTTCTCCAACTCTCGGATGATCTTGTACTTCACCTCGTAGCTTATTGTACGTCGTATCTTCTTTGGCTTAGGGCGGCTGGGTCCAGGTAATGCAAGGTTTTTCTATGGTGGTGGTGGTCCGGTGGCAGCCATTCTTATGGAACAATAGATACCGATATACACGGTGTAGCCGGGAGGGGTGTAACTGACCCGGGTAGGTCAAGGGGCTTTATCGCTCCTGCGGCGGGGCACGTCATAGTACATTAAACCAATCACAGCTAGCAGGGAGGGAGGTAAAGATGCGTGGCCCAATCACAGTCCGATACGTCATATGACATCACCGATAACGCAACAAAGACATACAGTGCGCAACCTACGCGCGCCGCTTAGTACCCAACATGGCGGGAGGTTTGAATCCAAAAATGGCGCGGCGCGAGATGACCGCCAACCGCTCTCCGCGTATATGAGTAGATGCACCACGTAAAGTGAACATTCCGGTTTTTGTTGGGTACCGCTTAAATGTAGAAACGCATAAAGCGGGGTATTACTGTATATATATATATATATATATATATATATATATATGTCGTTGTGCCCAGGAGGGCACAACGACATTCACTGAGTGACTTGAAAGTAGGGTATAAACGATCTAGCGACTTCATAAAGAAGATGCGCTGTGGTCGCCATGATGCTGACCAGAGATCGTATAAAAAATTGTCCCAAACACAATAATTGAGAGACATAAACAAAATAAAAGTCACTCTATTTCCTCACTGTGCTAAGAAGTATAAATACCGTATGTAAAATCCTCGTGGAACTTAGTATTTCAGCAATTACAACACAAATTCGCGGAGCCTTCTTTGTGTGTATTAACAGCTGACTCGCCAGGCAAGAAGATGACGGTGGCAGTACGTATGATGGGGGGGTGAAGGAGGGGGGTTTTGAGAATTACCCTTAAATGCCAGGTAGTGACGTGTCCTCCTAATATTACTTATTAAGTAATTATTAGATGTTTTAATTGCCTGTATGTTGGCCTGGCAAGTTATTGCTAGGCCTTAACATACCTAGGTATAAGCTAGGCGTCGCATTCTGGATTGAACAAAAATAATTATTTCTGTACGTAAGTACGAGTAGAATGCTAAATTTTTGTTTATGCTTAATGAAAATGTTTATACATCACTTTATACCTTCATTATTTCATGTGATTGCAATATGAACCTTATTCCATTATAAAGTGTACATCTTAAGGAAAAAATAGTAATAGATGAAAAGTTGTGAAAATACTAATATTTTGCTTGGAAGAGGCATCAGGAGGCACCACACTATCACCATGTGGTGCAATCTCCTAGCACTTTTTACATTTTCCCACCCCTCCACCCTCACCAGCAACATGAGACATGATTCAAAACTCTCATAACACTGTTATGATAAAATGAAATCACTGTGATGCATGAGAAACCAGCACAAGTTGCAAGAAAATGAGTGGGAAGTGTAGATCCCCATTATATCCTGGGTCATTTAAACACAAAAGGGAGACCGGTTTTTTATTGAAACAGTTCATGTTTTTCTCAGTTTGTAAATCCTAATACACTGTATCCACATAAGCAGAGCCATTCAGTTAACCCTTCACTCTTAAACTGTCACACTAAAATATATGGCAACAACTTTAATATTTCCACCTTCTTTCCATCCATCCAACCATACATATACAGGTAGTTCTGCTATAACGCGATAATTGTGTTCTTGTAAAATATCGTGTTATAGAAAATCGCGTAATAGAAATAACAGGGCTTATGGAGAAAATAGGGTTAAGTGCAGATTACTCGAAATCGAAAAAATTTAGTAGTTAGCCTAACACAAAGGATAGCACAGTCTAAATAAATGTTACATTCATATCTAATAATGAAATCATACAGTAAATGTTACACTTTACCTTGAAAAAATATGAATGTAACTTGATGGGGGAGAAGGGTGATTTTGAGGTTGATAACATCGAGCTTCTCTTCAAGTGTTATATCCTTTCTTTTACGATCATCACCGGGAATTCTATCACCAGAACGCTTCTTGTAGATATTCTTCTTTACCATATTCACAGTTAATACCACAAAATTGGAGAAATTGTAAGCAAAAATCGCGTTATAGCAAACAAGCGTTCGCGTTATACAAATATCGTTCCTAATTCATAAATCGCGTTAGAGCAAATTCGCGTTATCAAAACACGCGTTATAGCAGAACTCACTGTACTGTAGTTAATAATTTTATTCTCTTTCTCAGGACATGATTAACTTTGTTTAAATATTTAGTTATTTTCTGTAATTTACAAGTAAGTTCTAACCTTCAAAATTTTTTATTTGTTTATGCAAGATTCTTCCCTAAAAAAAAAAAAAAAAAAAATTTTAACCCCATCTTTAAACTTTTATGAAGGCATTTAGACTAAAGAACAGACAGTAAGATATTTAATTTATTGTGTGTTCATTATTGCTAATGTATATTAATAGAATATTGAGTTTAAATGTTTTTAGGGAGAAGTCGGTGTTTGAATGACTGAATATTATATACATCAGTTTGTGATAATAATAGTAATGAAATTTTGTTATAATTGATTTGTCTATTTTCTGATCTTGTTAACAGGTATAAGACCCGGGAAGAATACTGTGATGATCTGCGTCTAATGTTCAATAACTGTGAGACATTTAATGAAGATGATTCTCCTGTTGGCAAGGCCGGCCATAACCTCCGATCCTTCTTTGAAACTAAGTGGAATGAAAACTTCCCACCTACATAAGGTAGACGCCAGGAAGGAAGAAATCTTGAGGAAAAATTTAGCATTTGATGATCACTGAATAACCACAAGTGTTATAAAAGCAAAAAATTACTTTTTTATATTTTCTATTGTGAAATTGGATTCAATAGTGGACTGTAAGATACAAAATTTAGAAAATAGATGTACAGTATGTCCATATATGCTAAGTTTTATGGCATGTTTAAAGTGGTTTTATATATATATATATATATATATATATATATATATATATATATATATATATATATATATATATATATATATATATATATATATATATATATATATATATATATATATATATATATATATAAAGGAGATGGATTCATCGTATGTATAAACCAAAGTAAAGAAAATGTTACAATTATCCTGTGTAGTACAATTTGTTAATTGGCAAGAGACTTACTACACAGACACTGTGTAAGTGCAACTTCGAAACTAGCTGTAATATGTGCAGCTTGAAACAAAAGTGATATCATAGGAACTACAGAAGCCATAATAGTGGTGGTGAAGGACAACTTGACTACTCAGAGACTACAGATAGAGCTGCAGAAGGCTCATCACTTATGTGTGTTTCTGTAGGGTCCTGTAGGAGTCTTATACTGGGCTCTCTCTTTCCTATTCCAAAGACTCAAGTGTTTGAGTGTGAATGCATGAACAAATAAAAAGAGTGGATTAGTTACTCGTCTGAAGTGTTTATGACAGTGTAGATATATGGACCTTTTTTACCAATTATCATGGAGCACTTTTTTTTTTTTTTTTCCTGTGTAGAGCAGCTATACATGCTTCTGCCAGATGTTCAAGTACAGTTTTTAATAGTAAGGTCAGGTAGAATTTTTTATATATGGCATTAAAGAACTGCATAAGTGATGTAGCATTTTACATAAACCTTCCATTGAGTATGTAAGATGTAAATGGTAATAGCAGTACATGTACAGAGAATTTGTTCAATGTATATAAATGGTGAGCGTGAAAGAGTTAGCTAGTGAGTGAATAACTACAAAATACCGAAACCCTTCCCATAACACTGAATCTGATGACCTTCCTATCAATTTCTAAACCATGTTTGATAAAAAGGAGAAAAAGCACTAGAATGTAGTAACAAGTTTGAAGGTCAATATATGGTGGTTGATAAGTGGCCTTTGTTGATTGCTGTGCAGTGGAAGGTAACACATGTCTTGAGGTGCACAATTTTATGTGAATATAATGGAGAAATGTTTATTAACAGAGAGTTAATCATGTAAGAAATACACAAACAATTTATGAAGTGTGCTTTAAATGTGGATTTTTTTTTTAGTTGATGACTACTTGACTGCTGCAAAATACCTCTCAACTTTAAAGATAGATTTGCTAATAATTGTATATGAATTTTGTATTGGAAAACAGTGTAAGCAGTGTTGAGTATGTACAGTATAACTAATATATTTTTTAGTTTTTCTTGCTATTACAGTGTATATCATGCTGCAAGTGAAACACCGTGGAGAGAATTATGTCAAGTAGTGTAACTAAATGCACTCTGCACTCATGGTCAGATCTCTCTTGCATAAAGCTTTTGGTAACAATAGGGTATCCAGTGTAGCCCTTATTTGTCCATTTTCTTATTATTTATAATCATATCAAAAATCATTTTAATAATTGCATTTGAGATTATATATATATATATATATATATATATATATATATATATATATATATATATATATATATATATATATATGATAAAACAGCTGATTTTGTGGATGATGTACAAATGAAGTACAACTGAAAAAGAAGTTAATCATACTACAGAACAGTATTGTGTGTACATTTTCTTGAGTCTATGAGCCATGTATGATAAATTATACTTGAAAATTTTAAAAGTTGGTGTGAACAATCCAGGTACTTTTGTTATTATTAACATAGTTATGTATGTTATAGCTAGACTCCGATAATTTGTGTAGCTATAGTTTTCTCCAGTACCTTGAAGAATGGTTCGTGCACAAACAACTTATAACATTCTAATCTCGGCACTTGTCCAGAGATTCCTTCATGAGTGTACCTTTAACACATGTACTCACATTTCTATACAGAGTTACACAATTTTGTCGTCTTCTCTACATTCAGCCTTCACTATAGCACATAACATAGTTTACTCTTTTACTTAACATTCACATCTTTCTTTGTATTACATAGCCCTCTAATATCCCAATTCATCATTGAAATAACTCTACATCCAGCCAACTTAGCCAGTCTAAAACAATTTTTGTTTGTATAATTTTTTTATGCAGTATAGGCAGTTCTTGCATAACGTCAAGGTTACGTTCACGAAAGCGAGACATGAACTAAAACGTTGCTGATAGAAACCGAAAATCCCGTATACCTAATGTTATACTTAGGGTTTACATGGTCATTTTTTTTTCACTTAAATAATACTTGTTCTTTCAGAAATGAAACAAAGCCTTCATATAATCAAGTAAATACAAGCGAGGTTTTCATTTCTGTAAACCCTTCGATGAGCAAAATTAATTTTCAAATTAGAAAAAATTAGTTGATGCATTCTGGGTTGGAATTTTTTAGGGTGCTTGACGTGGGCTAATTTTTTGTCCAGAAACATTTAAAATTTGATTTAAAAAAAATACACATACTGTACATTCGAAGTAAACCTTAAAATACAATGAGGAGGTGTGTGCATATTCCCCATCTCACAGGTGTTCATCAACTGACCACCATCCACCCTATTGTAGTTAGTCACCATCACAATCTACTCTTTCTCTCGTATATACTGTACATAAGATACATCTTCATCTGTTTGTTTATTCAGTTTATTCAATTACTCTTGAGTAAGTGTTGCATTAACGATGAGCGCTCCACTTGTATTTTGTACTTTAGAAGAACAACGATCTGTTATTTGTTTTTTAAATTCGGAAGGGCTAAAACCATGTGACATTACAGAATGTCACTTCAATATGGAAGCAATTGCATCAGTCGAATGAATATCTACTAATGGGTTGAACAGTTGAATTGTGGACGAAGATCGTGCCGGATGACCTGTCATAGTTTCAACACCCACACTGTACCAGAACATTGAGCGGAAAATTTGGGGAACCGGCACATTACAACTAAACAAATTGTGACAGATTTGAAAGCCAGTGTTGGTACAGTACACAACATACACAACCTTATGTGGAAAGCATTTTTCGAATAATGTAGAGGTGAAGAAGAAATCCGAACTCGGTTACGGGGTCAACTGAAAAAAATTTTCGTCATAGGAATAAGAAAAATCGTAGAAAGATGGGACAAGTGCATAGCTGTAGATGGATATTATGTGGAAACATAAGTATGTGATCGTTAATAATAAATCGTTATTTCTGAACTTATATTCATTTGTCTCGTTTCTTATTGTGTTTTCTTTTTCCTATGTGGTTATCAGCATTTACATGGATCATGTGCAGCTCCAATGATTTATATATATATATATATATATATATATATATATATATATATATATATATATATATATATATATATATATATATATATATATATATATATATATATATATATATATATATATATATATATTTGTGTGTGTGCAAGTAAATCACTGTTAGGTGCACGTGATCCATGTATATGCTGATAACCACATAAGAAACAAGAAAACACGAAGTTCCCAAGCGATTTCGTGTAATTCACATCTTCAGGGGCGAGTGCAGTCTGTACTCACCCCTGAAGATGTGAATTACACGAAAGCGCTTGGGAACTTAGTGTTTTCTTGTACCCTATGTGGTTATCAGTATATACAGGGGGTATATATATATGCTTGTGTATTTTTTCAGTAAACCGTTAATTATCAAGAAGGTTCTTGTCGATTTGTGTGCAGTTTGATTTTTTCCTCATATATTTTGGCATATGGCAAAATCTTTTATATCTTTAAAGGGAACATTTAATCTTTCGCTAAACTCAACCATAATACAGTGGAGTCTCAATAACTCGCAGGTTGGGTATTAGAAGACATCATAAAATCTACAGATTCTAGGTATCTACAGTTTTTACTTTGCATATAATTTCACCAATTACGGCATTGAATTTTGAGTATCTGCGGATTAGTGTGGCGTCTTTATCCCCCCGTGGTCAAATGTGCACGTAACAGTAAAAAACAAGTTTAACACAATTATGTATATCTATCCTAAACTACGAGTTGAAAAATAACTCTAACACAGTTCACCGCTGGGCCTGGTAGGGAGAGGCTAAGATCCCATTACCACACCCACTTCCGTTCCCTCTTCGCCGCCCACAATCCTACAGTAACTCCCGTGGATGTAAGAAATGTGTATTCTATGTATGTATTTGATATTTTGGTGATCATTTCTTTTCTCTCTTTTTTTTTTTTACTTATTCTGTATGAACAATTGTGTGCATTTAAAAAAAAAATATTAATAATAAAATTACGTATATCTACCCGAAAATACAATAACATAGCTTGGCCTGATAAGGGGAGAGCAAGGGGGAAGTAGCTACAGGGACAGTCTAACTCGGCTACCTGCCAAGTCCATACACACACACACATGTGCTTCACTTCACACACATATACACCCATGTTATTAATTTATTTTATTTTATAGCAACATGCCATCTCCAAAGAAAGATGTACTGTAAAATTTATATTATTATTTAATTTATATTAAGGTATTTTATACGTATTTGACTCATTAATTAAATATACAATACAGGTACAGGTAAACCTCGATAAACGACGGGGTTAGGTTCCTGAAAAACCCATCACGAAGTGAATTGTCATAGATAAGGACCATTATAACGTGGGTTCAATGGGATACGTTTCCAGCCAGTGCCCAAACACATGTATCACCGATAAAAAAAATATCTACAATACTACTATCAGTACAAAACAATTAAACAACACTCATCACATCCTGAAGAATAAGCCTGGTCATCATCACATGTCCCTTTCGATGCTAAAGGGATGCCTTGGCCTTCCCAGACATTTTCAAAGTTACACTGCTCGCTTCACAGTCACATAAGCACTTGTCACAAAAACAGTGCGAACTATGATAACAAAACAATGATAACGGCCAATACTGCACACATTTTCAAAACAAGTCGCAAAAACACAGAAAATATCACTTCACAGTCCCTACAACACGGTTCAAACAAAATGTTAGTGCTGTCCTCTCACCTTATAAGAAAAAAAAAAAAAAACACGGATGTTAAGTACAATGTACAATGCTGACCGATCATTGTGGAGCAATGCGATGTCGGGTTTACACACGACAAAGAACCAAGCTCAGGGATGAACTGCGCGGGTTGGCCGTGTGACGGCGCTTGGGTAGGGCTGAGAAGTGAAGGTAGAGTGCATGGTGCATAGGGTTAAATATCGTTTCCATATAAAATGTCACTGACTTGATGTGAAAAATATAACTTTCATTGCTGGAATCCTTGCAAGACAGTTATTAATTTGAGTGTATACAACCAATAGTTTGCACTAGAGATAAAAAAAATTCAAACCACTGGATATCGGTACCGATATCGTTAGTGATTTTTTTTATCGTATATAGCGAGATGGTCTTAATTTATGACCACTGTTAAAGCAAAACATCACTGAATGGTATTTGGTATATCGAGGTTTACCTGTATTGTTTTGTGAAAGAATGGGCAAATTAGTTAGGTGAGTGTTACCCCGTGACCATAGAACCTAACCCTTTATTTCCCATAAGGCTTTAGTCTTGCCAATCATGGATTTGCCTACCCTGGGGTTTTTCAGGAACCTAACCCCTGCATTTGGTGAGGGACTACTGCATTGTTTAATTGATTGAAATGTAAATAATTAGTTTGGTTTCAGAGACCAAGAAATATTCATAAACTGCTTTAACAAACACTAAACATCACACACAATACATCAAAAAGTACAGTAACACATAGATATGGTACAAAAAGTAGTTCTATAAGCAGTTCCTTTCCTTCTTATAATTTCATGTGGGTTATGCCAATAAAGTATAGTCTTCATTTACGAGGTCAATTGAACCCGTGGAGGTCCGCGTAACAAGAATCGCTTAAACGAAAAAACAGAACATATGGGATTAATTGAAATAGAGACTGGGCCGACCCCCAAACCACTTTTTCCGACACAATAGTACGTTGTAGTAAAAATAACATCTTAATTTTATGATGGTATGCACACACAATTAATATTTAAGAGAAATATCAATAATATTAGGGTTTTTTAACACTTACGTTAGTAGAAAAGTTAGCTGGGCACACGGGGATGGGGGGTTGGTTCCGAGGCAAAGGGCAGATTATTGGCCCCCACCTGTATCACTTGTATCAATTGTATCACTATCCACCACAGAGGCTTGCAGGGCCTCTTTGTCAAACCCCTCAAAGTCCATATCCTCACTATCACTGACTTGGGCTGGCGGTGACGGGTGAAGAACTCGGTAATGTTTTGATGACTGGGCGACTTGTGAGCACCCTGCCCGCGCCGCTTCCTGCGTAAATGATGATATGAACCGTGTAAATAAAAATTGTCGGTCTGGCAAGGTGCCGCGTAAATCGAGACTATACTGTACACCAACAAAGAACCAGGAGTTTAATAACCTCACAGTAACTCATCTGGGATTGATTTTTTTTCTTTTTTAGATAATGATTTATTAACCCAGTACCAAATGAACCTAAATTATATGGGAATTATGGTGAAATTGTATAACGATGTCAGAGGGGTGTGCTCAGCTTGGGAACAGAGGAGGGAGAGGGATGGGCTGCTCAGTCCACCACCCAACCACCTTGCCTCCCACAAACTATTCACTTACTACTTTTCTTTTCTTTTTTTTTATTGTTTTATGTTATATATTTTTTTATTTCTAAGTCGCATTGGAGCATTG